TGTTGTATTTTAGTTTGGTGATGAGAACTCGGGGAGGAGGTTCAGGTTTTGGTTCCGTCTCAGGTGTGGGTATTGAGCCTATTAGTGAGCAGATGTGAGAGTTCATATCATCAGAGATTTCTCGCAGTATTTCGAAGATCTTGGATGAGCGCTTGGGTGCGTTACGTGCTGAGGTTATGGCTATCACCGGAGCTCGCACTCTTTCTTTCCGTGAGTTCCGTGTGTGCGGAGCTCATGCATTCTATAGGGAGAAGGACCCCATTGCTAGTAGGAGGTGGTTAGCGGATATGGCTAACGCGTTCAGGACGAGTTTCTGCCCCGAGGAGGCGAAAGTCAGATATGCTTCCTGCCTATTGGAGGACAGGGCACATGATTGGTGGGAAGAGGTTGGTAGTGAGGTGGTGATGATGTTGTTGATGCGATGTCGTGGGATGACTGCTCGACCAGGTTTCGAACTGAGTCTGAACCGGTGATTGAGATGCAGCAGTTGGCGTGAGAGTTTCAGGATCTCTGCCAGACTACTGAGACTGTGGCAGAGATCACTGCCAAGTTTTGGGAGAGGGCTTTATTGGTTCCTCAGTATGCAACTGATGAGAAAATGAAGAAGGTGATGTATCATGATATGTCGTGGGATGATATCAGGGAGTTTGTGAGTATTTCAGGGTGCAAGATCCTGAATGATATGATTTTTAGAGCCCGAGAGCAGGAGATCGATTTGGAGCACCGTGGGGATAGGGGGCCAGATCAGGTGCATATAGTGGAGGGTCCCGAGAAGAGACCCAAGACTACACGATGGAAACTACACGATGGAGTTTATCGTTCCAGGGACGGAGTCAGTGCAGCACGTGCGGGAAACTACACGATGGAGTTTATCGTTCCAGGGGTATGGGTTGCTACAAGTGTGGCAGGGTTGGTCACGTCAGCAGGGATTAGGGGTGTGCAATAAACCGCACAAACCGCATAAACCGCCCGCACCGCACCAAACCGCACCGCATAACGCGGTTTAAAACACTCGCGGTGCGGTTTGCGGTTTGTATTTTTGTTAAACTGCATTATGCGGTGCGGTTTGCGGTTTACGATTACATAATTACGGTTTAAACCGCACCGCATTAATAAAATCAATTAATGATTATATATATATATATATATATTATATATATATATATATATATATATTATATATATATATATATATATATATATATATGACATTATCTTATGTTTTTAAAATGTAATCTTAATTAATCAAAAATTTAACGCAGTTACCATATTTTTTTGTCTCAAATTCATTTTCAACTAAGATTTAGTGACCATTATTTTATGGTCACTATGTTTTCTTAACTTATGTATATTCATAAGTAGTTAATGACCACAATTATTTGACCACCAAATTAATTTCTTAATGACCACTTAGTGAGCCTTTAGTGATGACAATGATAGTATTATCATTAAATTTAAAGTAAATAATTAGTCAAACCACAAAACCGCATGTAAACCGCATAAACCGCCCGCACCAAACCGCACCGCATAATGCGGTTTTGAACGTTCGCGGTGCGGTTTGCGGTTTCTAAATAACTCAAACCGCATATACGGTGCGGTTTGCGGTTTTGGCTCTAAACCCCACCAAACCGCACCGCGCACACCCCTAGCAGGGATTGTCCTCATGGGGGAAAGCCTGTTATGTTTTCATTGCAACCACATGGGCCACAAGAAGGTTGACTGTCCGATGTTGAGGGGAGGGGCAGTGAGTGCGCCTGCTCCGACTACTTTGAGGATCACCGATGGACGAGAGGGTAGGGAAAAAGCCCCAGCAGAGAGGAGTCGGGCATTGCAGTGTCAGACAGGGGAGGTCAGGACTCCAGCAGGCGACATTGCGGGTATGTTATCTTTTGCTTTCCTTTCGGGTTTTATCAGTATTTATGTTGTTTGGAATCTTGCATCGGTTTGGGTAAGCGTTATCTTTGGTTTAATTATGTGTTCATGTTTGGGTTATATCATCAATAATTGTTATATGACATTTACATGTCATGAATCGTTAGTGGTTTAGTAAGGGATTGTATCTCGTGTAGTAGATTCCAAAGTGTTCGGTTGTTATTCTGGTTTTTGGTCAAGATCGGTTCAGGGGTATCGTGTAGAAGGTTTATGGTCATGATTCAGCGGGTTAGTTCTCCAGTATCGTCATAATTCAGTGGTTTTAGTAATTGTGCTTGGTTGGCTCTTGGGGGTGCCAATGGAAGTGGTATATTGCTGAGGTTTTGGTCTGAGCATCTATTCATTGGGCTTCAAGATTTAAGTGACGTATCATTAAAAGCTTTTAGGGTTATCGGTTTTCTGGGATTTCGGGAAGTGTTCATCTGGTCTTCAAGGGTAGTGCGGCCTTTTGGGTTTGGCTAGTGATGGATCACTAGCATCGGTAAGCGGAAGTTGTCAACAGTTCGATCAATGGAAAGTAAGAAGGATGGGAAATCCTTCAAATCTTGTGTGCTGTAAGAGCTGAGTCGAATCAAGTGGAGGAGAACCGTTCAGGTATTCAGGAACAGAAGCGGGCGTGAAACTAGGATGAGTTCCACATCCCCGTCGAGGAAGAAGGCGGTTCAAGTGGCCGCCTAGATTGAGGATTGTGTGAGTTGGGAGTTCGGGAAACTTCCCAACATTCACAAGGTTCGTAAAAAATGCACATATGCACCGGTCGTATATGAATGTTTTTTTCTATATTTTTTTTAGGAATATGCCTTTATAGTGCAAGTTTGGTGCTTTATGTCAATTTTTTTTGAAAAAAAAATTACACAAAATAGTTCACATTTTAAGAATGGTTTTGCGGGAAAATATGGATTCGCAGAAGATCCTGAATATATATATATATATATATATATATATATATATATATATATATATATATATATATATATATATATATATATATGGTAGTTTGTGAGGAAAAAGGAAAAAATGACAAAGACGCTGCAACGACTATGGTGCAAACTGTCAAATGTTCAAACGATACAATTTTTTAGTGGACAGGAACAATAACATGTTCATGTTCCTTCATTTAAGTTAGTCGAACAAATGAACGAACACGAATGAATAAACGGACGAGTTTTTTTGTCCATGTTTCTTCGTTTAATAAATTACCTTGTTCATGTTCGTTAACATGCTAAATGAACGAATATAAACTAAAAAAGATAAACAAACACAATTGAATATATATGAACATTAATGAAAATATAATAAAAAATTTGAATATATATAAATATATATAAACTTAAACGAACGACCATACATGAACGTAAACAAACACCATAAACGAATGTTTGCGAACATAAATGAAAGAACGGGACTATTGTCCATGTTCGTTCGTTTAAATAAACAAACGAGAATTTGTGTTCATTCTCGTTCATTTATTAAATAAACGAATTTCCCGTAAAACGGTTTACAAACGATTCTCTAAATTTTTAGATCGTTTGCAACCCTACCGCCGATAATAATTTCAACATAAGCATACAGACGATGATGATTACACGACAACACAACCTAAGCAACTAAAAGGGTAAATTACACCAGTCGTCCCTAGTGCATATGCCAAAATGCACGTTTAGTCCCTATTTTCAAAAATTAACTCGGACCGTCCCTGAGTTTGTTTTTCCTTGCACACTTAGTCCCTTTGTACATAAAAAGACTAATTTGCCCTTAATAAATTATTTTTAATTTTCTTTTATTTAGTTATCATTTTTAGAATTAAAAAAACAAACAATATCCCGACCAATCACACCCCTCACCATCCCCTTCTTTCTTTCATCTCCGGCCAACAGCCTCCCTCCCTCCGCACGTCCTTCGTCTTCCCCGGCAAGCTCAGAAATTAAACCAACAATCGAGGTCGATTCCTAATGCACATCCGCCTATTCCATTTAGCCAATACATTCATCCATTCCCTTCCCCGATATCTCCATCTCCCTCTCACACTCTGTAATGACTAAACATCAATCTACAATTTTTATTGCTATGAACTTCATCAAACCCTTTCACATAGTCGATCTTGAAACCTGAAATCAGGGAAAGAGGGAAATGATGATGGTGGATGCCTTAAAAAACTGAATCCCAAAAATCAATCCATCACTCGAATCGAATAGCAGCACCTCAAGTTGATATACATATCAAATCAAATTAAATATTGAATCAATAAAGCTATTCGACATGTTCGATTTCAAAAACGCTACAGTGACTCACCACTGTTCACCACCCAGAAAACTCACCACATCTGTTCTTTATAACCCTAACAACCGCTAACCACATAGACTGGAGGGGTTTCTTGAAGCTTGCCGTAGGAAGATGTTGTCGCTGGAAGAAGATGACATCGTCCATTTGAAGAGGACAACGTCGATGGTTTGAAGGGGATGCTGTCACCGATGATTTGAAGGGGATGTCGTCGCCGATGGTTTGAAGGGAACTTAGTCTGTCTCTCTTGCACCTTCTCCCCATATCGAATCTGCACACACACATGTGTGTATGTGTTTTTTTGTGGTTCTTTATTCTGATTAATCGACGTTAGGTTTGGAAGTGAATGAAGTGAGTGTGTTGGGGAAAGTGAATGGAGGGTGGTGTAGTGGCTTTAAATTTTTTTTTTTTTAAACTGAAAATAATAATAACAATATCAAATTAAATGAAAAATAAAAACAAAAAGGGTATTATCGTCATTTCTGTTGTAGTACGGACTAAGTTTGTAAGAAAATTGTTTTTTAGGGATGAAGTGTGTAAGTTTAAACTAAATGAGGGACTATCTGAGTTATTAATGGTTTAATTAATTTTGAGTACGATTGACAACATCATTGACGATAGCCCCTAGAGACATAGCGTCTTTAATGGTTTAATTAATTTTGAGTACGATTGACAACATCATTGACGATAGCCCCTAGAGACATAGCGTCTATTCAAAATAATTGGTTTTCAATATATACGAGCGAAAAAGGAAAAAAAGAAAAACAGTCTAAATTCCAAAAAGCGATATGTGCACTCTAGAAAAGCGCGGCAACATCTTCTTCCTCACTTTAACCGGCGACGGAAGCGATGAGCATCGTCTGAATCCTACTCTCATTTCCTCCATCCGATCCGCTCTTTCCGATGCCAAGTCTCAATCCACTCATGGCACCGCCCTTATCACCGTCGCCGAAGGTAAATTCTTCTCCAACGGTTTCGATCTCGGCTGGGCCAAATCCGCCTCAGGAGGATCTCCTTCGGAAGCAGTTAATCTCCTCCGTCACATGGTGGAACTCTTCAAGGATGTAGTCGCCGACTTCATCTCCCTCCCTATGCCAACAATCGCCGCCGTCACTGGCCACGCCGCCGCCGCAGGACTGATGCTCGCTATGAGCCACGACTACGTCTTGATGAGTCGCCATCGGGGGATTTTGTACATGAGTGAGGTCGATATTGGGATGACATTACCTGAGTATGTCACGGTGTTGATGAGATCGAAGGTTGCGAAGCCGGATGTCCGGCGGGATGTGTTGTTGCGTGGGGTGAGGGTCAAGGCGGAGGAAGCGGTGGCGAAGGGTTTAATTGATGCGGCGTATGATAACAGGGAGAAGACGGTTGAAGGTGGTGTGCGTCTGGCGGAGGAGTTGACCAAGAAGAAGTGGGACGGCGAGGTGTACGCGGAGATAAGAAAGTCGTTGTATCCGGAGCTGTGTGGCGTGCTCGGCTTGAATAGCCGGGAACTTGTAAAAGCTCGGCTCTAAGTTTGGGGATGGAAATAGAAGGGGTGGAATTGTTATTTTTATTTTCGTAAGCTTGTTTTTGTTGTTGGGGGATGCCTGAAGGGATGTAATTGTATAATGTTCTAAGAAGAGTATATTACCGTTTTAGTCCATTTTTGTTTTTTTTTGCAAGTGGTCAAAGATGAAGATGAGAAAATTTCATTATCTTTTGTGGAGAAACCCATTGTGACAGTCCATGCATATGACTTATAAATAATTAAGCCTACACCAAGACGATAATTAGTGGTCATGTCCACGACCTTGAGGAGTAGAGGTGACAAAGGTGTCATCTTGGTGTCGAGTTGAAACTTAAATGAGTTGAAATAGTTTGACTTTAACCTGACTCGTATAATTATCGTCTCGTATAAATGTTTACTTTCTTGTCGGGTTTGCGGTTAGGGTTTAGACATTGTAAGTATGTCGTGTCGTACTAGATTGAAATACTAAATATGTTGAAAAAGTAGGATCGAGGTAGAAAATGAAAGTGAAAAATGGGAAGGAATAGTAGTTTGGTTTTCATTTCTTTCGATTCATGTATTGTTCGGGTCAGTTCCGATACTTAAACACCTTCTAAGATAGTAGGGTTCCTACTATAACCGAACCGAAACCAGTTAGATTTAGTTCGGTTCTCAGTTTTCATTCACTTCTTAACCGACTTTTGGTTCTTCTGTTTCTGAAATGGTTTACATCCTTATTACGAAGTATGTAATATTAATGAAAAAGTGGAAAACTAAAAATAAGTATTGATTGGGTCGGCTAATTAGTGGCTTTCACATTATAAAACGATTATATCCAAAGAAAATAATAATTTACATTTGGTTTTAACTTTTAAGCATTCTTGGTTTACCTAAAATAAGTTGCAAATAAACGGATCATTTCGTGTTGAATGTTTGGACCATAACCTTAATCGTTATAATTTTGTATTGTGTCGTGTCTACTCGTTCAATTAAACGAGTTGAGATCTTTGACTTAAACCCGTCTTTTTGTGTGTCGTGTCCATAACTACCACACCATATTTAAAGAGTATTTGGTGTCAACTCTTACAAAGTAACAAAATAATTCACACCATAGGTAGGAGTATTTGGTGTAAGTTCATAACAAGTAACAAAATAATGGCCATCCACTTATTTTAAGTAACAAAATAATGACAAAACAAGTTGTGTTTTCCCACTTTTGGTGAAGACAATCAATTTATCATTTTAGTTGTTCCTTGTATATTAACACCACCTTTTAAACTTTCTGTAATGTTTACTCTAATTGTCCACTTCACTTGGTACAATATTACAAAACATGGTCATTGCCAACATAAAGCCACTAAAAAACCATTTGTCGGCAATTTTTTGGGCGTGTTCGGCAAAACTAACTGGTAGCGGGTAACGTTTGAATTTGGAGCGTTTTGTTGAAAGCTACTTCATGTAGCTTTTGATTTTGGAGCGTTTTGTTTAGGTTAAAAACAAACGCTGCTGTCGCCGAACGACGTTTTTTTTATTAGCGTTTTCTTAAAAGCTAGAAGCCAAAAGCTCCCAAACATTGTGTGCCGAACATGCCCTTTGTAAATTGCAGGCGGATTACGAATGATTTAAAGTTTGTTGGAATTCTATCAAAAAACCTAGACACAAATGTTTCTTTAACCCACAATCCACCAGAATTTAAAGTTTGTTGCAATTTGATTTTTTTTATATAATCACCGTTATTTTAATTTTAAAAATCGTTGTGAGTGTTCGAACTAGACACAAATTGTAAGTTTGGTCCCTATGGTATGTCAAAAATTTGATGTTTGGTCCAAAATGTTTTAACGTTACACCAGTGGTCCAAAATAATATTTTTGTTGTAGTTTTGGCCCTCAAGGGATTTAAATGAGTTAGAATGACAATTTTGCCCTTTTACATTGCTTTTATTATTTTATTTATTTATTAATTTATTTTTTAAATGAAAAATAAAATAAAAATCCCTCTCTCTCTCTCATTCTCTCTCATATTCTTCATCTATTCTTCAAACCCATGAGCAAAGGAAATAGACTAATCCATTCATCTCTAAGTCGAAGACACGCAAAAAGTTGTAAGCCTTGACTAACCCATGAGCACCAACCAACACCACAACATCCACCACCGCCAGTCAACACCTACATCTCTCTCCATCTCGCTCACACAGGTCTGAGGTGGAACGTCACCTCTCTCACCATCTCTCTTACTGATATGATAATAGGGAGGTGGTCAGACGAATCAGAAGATCAGAGACAAATCAACAGATCGAAGGTTCGTCGTCTGCACAAATACGACGTCGCCTACACCTTCACCGTTGACGTCATTGCTAGGGTTTCATAAACCTGCATTAGGATAATGGCGATGGTATGTTTTCAGATCCTAAAACCAAAATGAAACCCTAGTCGAGACTCGTTCTTACAGATCTTGAAAAGAGAAAGGCGGCGACATTGGGGTTTCATGAAATGATAATGGTGGCAACAATAGAAGGAGATATATGTAGACAGATGAAGGGGTAGTCACCGACGTTCTTTGTCTTCTGATTCATCACACCGATGTTCTCCACCTTCTGATTCATCAATCAGGTTTCTGCAACTTATCAGTCTCGATTTTTGCAAATCGTTCTTATAGATCTTGGATTTTGTCACACCCCCAAACCGGAACAGCGGAAACGTTCGGGGGCGGAGGACGTCATGTTTAGTATCACAACACATGTATCATAGTAATCACAGTAACAAACAACCATTGTATTAATATTAAAGTGTTTACAAGTAGTGATTCACAAAAGATTGAATCCAAAAGTAAATAACAAAACAAGACATGAAGCTACTATACTTCATCTTCTGAATCCCAGCGCGCGTACATGTCTACTAGTTTCCTGAGAATACAATTTATTTTGAAAGAGTAGATCAGCATTTAAGCTGGTGAGTTCATAAGTATTTTAGTGATGTAAAGTAAGTTGTAAGTTCTTTTAGAAAAGTTCGTCTGTTCCTCCATAAAATCCTATATTTTCTTATATGATGAAAGATAAGTAAAAACGACTCTACAGTCCCTTATATGAGTACTAAATGGATACAAGTTATATAAAACCCAAAATAAACAAACAATCGGTTGTGTGAATCTGCCCTAAGCCCACAACCAAACAAGGAACAGGAAATGAGGCGGAAGTCACACATCCCATTGTTTGTTAGGTCTTCGTTTTATATAACCCTAGTGTATTCACTTGGTATTCACGGAGTTAACTGTAATAGTTCCTTTATATTTGATGAAAACATTCTTTAAGAAAAACCCTTATTTTCTTTAGTAAAAATGGTAACCACAATAGTTCCTTCTATAATCACTTAGTTTATACTAGCTATATATAATCTAATATCGAACGGATAGTTAATTGTGTGAATCTGCCCTAAGCCCACAACCAAACAAGGAACGTGAAGTAAGGCGGAAAACACACATTCAACTGTCTATCGGATATTAATTATATATAACCCTGATGTATAAACTAAGGTATTATAGAATTAACCACCAAAGGTCCTTTAAGTTATACTGGTTTAATAAAATGGATTAAACCCTTTACTGATAAGTTTCTAGTTTAGCCTACTAAATGTTCTATCTGGAAAAAGTATGTTCTTGAACTAGAAAACGGTGTATTGAATTTGTATACTATGACCTGACCCATACCTGGTACTCCTTATGATTACTTGGTGTAGACGGAATACATATATAGCTAAGATCGAATAGATAGTAGACCGGGTGCATCTGCTCTAAGCCCACAACCAAACAAGGAACAGGAAATGAAGCGGAAAGCACACATCCTACTGTCTGTTGGACCCGATTAATATATATCCCTGATGTATCTACCGAGGAATCATAAAGTTAGCATTATAGGCCCCCTTCTAACTGAATGTACTAAGACTCGACTGTTCTGTTTGCCCTTTAAAATGATGAAAGTATTCAGTAATGTTGTAAAAAGTGACTACTGAAGCACTAACTACCTTAAAACCAATTTGTTAATTAAGGTTTAAAATGTGATGTGGTTATAACCATACCGATACGACACGTGATAACATGACGACCTAATGGCGTCGAACTGATGTGATATTTGTCACCCGTAGACTTGCAAGTCTCACGGTAGCTAGCAGCAAGGTGTGGGGTGTCAATCCCGTATAAATCTATACACAAACTCATGCCCTCCCTCCAGGAGACTCTGGTTACAAAACGCGACCTAACAAGTATATTGCTAAGTCGTGAAGTAGTGATATCACATTATTGTTATAGTATTCTTGTATATGTATAGTATGTTCCTCCATGTTTCTCTTTATAGTATGTCCTGAACCCTAAACTATACCTATTAATATTATAGTTTACTAGTATATTTGTTTTGAACCGACTCTGAATTGTAGAAAAGACTCATTTATCTATCGAGTTATGCTCGTACTTTAAAAACGGAGTTTTATAAACTATAAAGTAACATAACTTAAAAGAGTGTTTGAAACGATTTGATCACTTATAAACACATAATCAATCATTTAAAATGATGTTTATCACAAAACATTTACACAGTTATCATTGTGTTCGACTTGTATTCCCCCCCTTAAAAGCATTTAAAACATTTAAAAGATTGATCACAGGGGTATGAACTCACCTTATGTGGGTGATTCAATTGAGGATTCGCGTAAGGATGAGAAGTTCCACGAATGAATTCCCGAGATACAAACGACTCCTAAATGACATATAATGGCATATATAGGCATGTAATTAGTGTTTTAAACAACTAACATGTAAGGAAACACCCTTAGGGACTAGGAAACACTTGAACTAAGTGTTACAATCACATGTGATTGACTAAAAGGGGTTTACGGCCACACAATGGAGTGTACAGCCAAGGGGTGTACGACATGGAGTGTACGGCCGTATACTCATGGAAAACATGCAAAAAGGGGTGTTTGATCCATGGGGAAACTAGTGTGACAAATGCACAACAAGAGGATGAACAAAGCTCTCATTTTGGAGGGTCTTGAGGTGTGTACGGCCACACCAAGTGTGTACGGCCGTAAACACTCCAAGATGGATGCATTTTGGGTATTGATTCAAAGGGACTAAAGGGTTCAAGAGTTCTAATGGATAACAAGTACTTAGCAAGTGTTTAAGGCCTTAGGTTATGAACCTAACAAGGGTACACGACCGTAGATAAAGTGTACGGTTGTATACTCTTGATGTTCATGAGTTTGATGATGTTTCATGGATGAAATCATGGATCTTCACTATATAAAGCAATGTATCAACTAATCAGTGGAAGGAATACTTACATTTTTGAAGATCAAGGTGAAAAGCTTGATGATAGTTGAGAGAGAATTGACTTTCTTGACTTGGAAGTGTGAAAAGTGTGAAAGAAATGAAGGAATAGCTTATATATGGGCTTGGGTTCACGACCACCTTGAGTGTACGGCCATACACCCATGTGTGCGGCCGTACACTCCTCTTGATGGAGTGTTTGGCTCGAGTGCAACATGAAGAACCTAAGTTAACTCATCCCTAAACCCAAAACTTGAATGTACTAGGCTTAGAACACTCAAACAGACCCTAAACAATGCTAAAAGATAACAGAAATGAGTCTGACTCTCGATTGATTGGCTGAACTTGCAAGGCAAAATTTTTTGAGTTGTCACATCCTCCCCCCCGTTAGATGGAATTTCGTCCCGAAATTAGCTTTCTTAACAGTACTACTGGGTTTGTGCTCCTCTGATTGGCAGAATACCCACTCGTAGACCTGGGCAACTTTGCCCTAATGTCCATGATAGGATTCATGCCTGGTCCATCTATCATTACCTCGTGTATACAAGTCGTATATAATTAAGATTAGTAAGACGGTCGGATGTGCGACTCTACCTCAGGTCCACAACCAAACAAGGAACAGGAGATAGGGCGGAAACACACATACTAAATCTACATAATCATAATTATATACCACCCTCGCGTATACACTTATTAGTGATAGGTGGGATGTATTCGTCATTAGCCTCTGTGCTTGAACTTGATCTGTTAGACGAGTGGTAGTTTGGGAAGGCCTGCTGAATATACGACGACAAGGTTTCGGAGGGCAAGGTACTCCTCGCATGAGTACTTCGGGGTTTAGAATACGTGGTAGACGATTCCGAGGTTTGGGTCGGGCTGTCGTTACGAATGACGAGAGTTTCGTGAATTTGACGGTCAAGGCGATGGAAACATATGAACTTAGTATGGTGAGGACCACGCCAATTCATGACGAATGATGAGAACATACTCTTTACAGAAACAAAAGTTAGGCCAATTTGAAAGAAACATTTGTTATACGACAGTGTATCCCGAGTGTGCTCGACAATGTACTCTGTGTAAATGTTCTAGTGCTTTCTGTTTTCCCCTTGATATTACCACTGCCACAAATCGTACCGCGATGAGCGAGTACTAACAGTGCAAGTGTTTTGATAACTAGTGTCGATACTCTATATAATGACCCTCCTCGGTACCTCTATGATCGCCCGTCATATACAAATTATGTATAATTAAGATGAATAAGACGGTCGACTGAGTAACTCTGTCCTAAATCCACAACCAAGCAAGGAGCAGGAATTAAGGCGGAATCACTCACTCTAAATCTGCAAAATCTTAGTTATGTACAACCCTGATGTACATACTAAGCCATCATAGCTTCCCTGAACGGATCTTTAGTTCTCTTGTGAATGTTGTGACTTGTTCATATGAGTGAGCTATTATAATTACTTTTAACTGTTTTCCCCAAGTTTTAATATTATATAATTCATAAATCGAAGACGTACCGCTGGTCGCTGGGGACTCCGGGGTAGATTCTCCTGCGGTGATCATCAGAATCCGTCCATCCGCTCATGAGTTCCTAGTTATCGGGCAGTCCCTCTTGTAATGTCCTGTGTCACCACATCCATAGCAGGCCTGGTTTACTTCAACTCCGGGGACTTGGGAGATCGGTTGAGCCGGTGCCCTGCAGAACCGAGCAGTGTGCCCCTTCCTGTGGCAATTCAAGCATTGCATTTCCCAACATACTCCGGTGTGGTGGTAGTTACAACCATCACACTTCGGAGAGTTCCAACATATCGACTGGCAGGTGCTGGAGTAACAGGTGTTGTGGCGGCGTAGATAGTACCCATTTGTTGCTCCTGCGGGGTTTCCTATGTTGTTCGCTCCTTCCTCTTGTTCCCCGACTTTCTTTTATAGTCTCCTCCCTTCGATGGCTCGGGAACGGGGGCCACCACGCCATTGCGGACTCCATGGTTAATGAGTCGTTGGGCCAGGTGTTTGGCGCTATCGAATGTAGTTGGGTTAGAAGAAAGTACATCTCCTTGAATCGGGTAGATAAACCCCAGATGTACCTTTCTATCTTCTTATTTTCCGGGGTAACCATCCCGAGGGCATAGTGCTGCCAGGTCGCTAAACCTGTCAGTGTAGGTCACTATGTCCGAACCGACCATGGTGTGCTCCCATAGTTCTTGTTTCAACTTTTGGACTTCGCCCATTGGGCAGTATTCTTCCACCATCATCTCTTTCAGGTTCTCCCAACCTATTGAGTTAGCCACCGATAGGGTCAGTGACTTAACATGGCTATTCCACCATGTCAAGGCTCCGTCGGAGAAGGTGCAGGCAACAAACTTCACTTTGCTCCCTTCTGGGCACGGACATATTTCGAAGACCGAATCTGTTTTCTCGAACCATCGCATCAGAGCAATGACTCCCCCGATTCCATTAAAGGATTTGGGTTTGCAGTTCATGAAGTCTTTATACGAACACTCCCGTGGGTATCCGTGGGTAACTCCGGGGTCGGTTAAGTGGGTACTGTTGCCAGTTCCGTAGGTACCACTTTCGCTGATGTGAGCTAGAGCAGCTGCCACTGCGACTGATATCGCTGCTTGGAGAGCAGCAGGATCGAACTGTGGAGTTTGAGTTGGGGTTATCGGAGTAGTGCGCCTGTTCGATCTGCGAGGAGGCATCTTGCTAAAAAGAATACAAAGCCGAGATGGGAATAAGTCTATATCAGTGGATATGAACCGAAAGCTGAAAGACTAAGTTATCCTAGTTCTGAATGTATCTTGTTCTGACTTTCATAGGGTTCTGGAAACAATTCATAAAGAGAGTCTAAACAAAAATAAACTTTATGAATAAGAAGTGGCTATCCTCGAATGAATATCTGGAAATAGAATAACTGATACTAGTCACATGAAAAAGAAGAAAAGATTCCTAACACATAGTGTGAGTAGTGTATTCACTAGCTCACTAAGTTATTAATGGATATCATTTATTAGTGTGACACATAAGACGTTTTGTTTCTTCGGCTGATCATTCTCTGAAAACTTCTCATGAACCTGCTTTTGTTCCTCCTTGACTTTTCTGCTGACCGCTATGAGGAAGTAGTTACATCTATCTGGGTTTGTCGTACGAGAATGAAAGTGTGAAAGTGTGAAAGAAATGAAGGAATAACTTATATATGAGTTTGGGTTCACGGCCACCTTGAGTGTACAGCCGTACACCCATGTGTGCGGTCGTACCCTCCTCTTTATTGTTGATTTGCAACACGAAGAATACTTTAGAACAAAAAAAACGAACATTAATATATCATGTTTAAATGAAGGCGCAACGATAGTGGCAAGGCCGATGATCATTTATGTACTGTTTTATTTATCCTACGAATAGATAAAATATTCGTCATTTCTATTTTCTATAATCTAAAAGGTTATTTTTTCTAAATGATGGAATCACAATCGTTATACATTTGTCATAATCAAGATTTTACCTTTTTGATCATAAGTTGCCTAAACCATAAACTTTTTGAGATGTTGCTTTTTTCCCCTTCTACATTCTTTCCGGAGGCTTTAAACTTTTCAAAACTTTGTGATAATTAATATTCTATTTCATATATGTGTAGTGGTTTATACGGCATCTCCTTTGGTATATGTTTCTGAAAAATAGTAATATTCAAAAGAAATCAACACAAACTCTAAAACTAAAACTTATAATTTGACAAAATTATACAAATGGTCCTTATGGTTGATAGAAAATGCCAACGCAATCATTTTGAGAAAATTTTGGTATGGTTGATCATTTTCATGTTTAAAGCTCAAAGGATCACTCTTTGTGGTTGGCAAAGGTTTTAAACCTAAAAAGGATCATGTTAAAAATTCATTAAAAAGACTTAAGCACAATGATCATTTGTGTAATTTTGTCTTATAACTAAAAATCTACCACATTTATTATTATGTAATTTAATATTGTTATCAATACAAACATCTTTTTATTACATTTTTTAACCGGATATAAATAACCGAGAAAAAAATATGGAAATAACTCCCACCAAATTTGCCCTTCGTTTTTACCTCCATTTTTTACCCGCCAATAATTTACACCAAGACGTAAAACACCCGCGAAAAGCTTTAAACAATGTTTAACCTATCGCGCCAATTTTGTCTCCAAATAAATATCACTTCACAATCCATTCGCATTTTTTTACGTTTCTATCAATTCTCTATACTCTTTAACTATAATCCAGCAATGGAGAAATCACCCATTGTTGTAGAAGACGATGCGAAGAGCAGCAAACCTATCGTTTCAATTGATCTCACTCTTTCACCCCCTTCGAAATCCATAAAAACCTTAGACGCCATGGCCGTCGATACGCCGGAATTTCCTGTTAAACGGACGATTACAAGCACCGGTGGGACTCGAATCTCGACAACTCCGATGATCAAAGAAGAACAAGAAGGTAAGGATTGTTACACTGGCGATGATGGTTGTAGTAAAGCAAAAAAACCTAGAATGTCTTTTTCTGAGTTTCTCGATGCAACCAATACTAAGGTTTTATCGGAAAACGATCCCCGGTATCTCGCTTTTGTTAAGAAAGAAAAAATGGATGAATCTGAACCGGTCCTTGATGCGGAGCCGATTTCTGTTTCCAACGAAGCTGGTTCTAATCAGAAATCCCAAAACGTATCTGTTAAATCAGAACAAGTTGATGAATCTGAAACTAAACCTCAAGTAAAACCGATCCCTGTAAAGAAAGAGTTGGATGGATTTCAAGCGGGCAAACAAGAACAAAAGCCAAAGTTGGTTCAACCGATTTCATCGATGCCTCAATCTCTATACAGTTTACATTTGAAGAGGGAGAGGGAGGGAGTTACGGATGATAAGAAGCTGAATCCTATAGTGATAGAAAATGGGGATTTCGAAGAAAAACCTGATTGGTTGCTTGTCGGAAGAACTGCCATTACTGGTTTATCGACTACAAAAGGGAGGAAACTCGAAGACAATGAAATCGTCCACTTCGCTTTTCCTAATATCGATTCAAGAGGCAAGAGTAGCTATTGGACCAATTCACGAGCTGCAATTGCTGCTTCTGGGATTGTAAGATTCTCTACAAAACGATCCGGAGAGGTAACAATTTACTCATCTTCTGCTATTTTTTAGTACTTCAGGAAAAGGGGTTTCAAGAAATTGTTGATTTCATGTTTTTGTTTCAGATTGGGCGTCTTCCAATGGAGTGGTCAAAGTGCTTAATTCCACTTGTAAATTCAAAAAAGGTGAAAGTTCTTGGCAGATGTGTAGCTGCACCAGTGTGTCTCTCAATGATGCAAGAGATAATGCTTTATATTAGGTAAAATGTTCATCTTTATTTATTTCTTGTTTTACTTTGGGTATGATTATGTTTTCTAAATGTTTTGATTTGTGTTTGTTTTGTTGGGCAGTTTTTATATTCATCATTCGATCTTTAGTGAAGATGGAAAGTCTTCATGGAAGCTGGAATCCTCTTCAAACATCGACTCTACAATTTACCCTCTCTTGACTTTGTTCAAGTTGTTGAAAAAGAATCCATTTCAAAAGGTAACATGTTCTTTCAATTTTAGATTTCAAAAGTTTCAAGAATCCATTACAATTCATCCTCTCTTGACTTTGTTTGACTTTTGCTAACTGTGTCTTAACTAGGCTGAATTCACACCAGAAGAGCTTGATTCTCGTAAAAAAGCAACACTTGAAGTATGTTTGTTTCCTTTTTTACCTTCATTTTTATCTTTCTTTTGTGGAGTGTATTTAAACATGTAATCAAAAATGTTTTTGACTTTGTTTAAACAGGCTGATTTAAATGAAGCTGCATCATCACTTCCTATTGTAAAAAGACAAAAAAGTGGTGAACCATTGCTTTTAGAACCCAATAAAGATGCTCAAATTCTTTCTGAATCATCTTTAAACAAGCTTGTTGGAGCTGCTGACATGTACAATTTGGAGGTATATTTTAAATAATTTAACATAAGAGTATTAATATTAAGAAATATCAAACACACTTTCATTTATTTATGTCTTACACCATTTTTTACTTTCATTTCTTTGATTCTTTCCATTACATTATTGTACTTTCAGTCTTTTTCTTGTTAAGGTATTGAATTTATAACAAAATGACTGAAAAGCCCTTGTCTTTTTTCAGGAAATGGATCCTCCAACTACCCTAAGATGTGATTTAAGGCCATATCAGAAGCAAGCTCTTTATTGGATGACAGAATCAGAGAAAGGTGTTGATGTTGAAAAAGCACAAGAGACACTTCATCCATGTTGGGCTGCATATAATATATGTGATGAGTATGAACACTTTTAATCTCAAATTTTAATTATATATAATTTTTTTTAATAAATAATTTATTCTTACTTACTTTAACAGAAGAGCCACTGCAATTTATGTGAATATTTTCTCTGGGGAAGCAACTACTAAGTTTCCAAAAGCAACACAAACAGCCATTGGAGGGGTAAGTTTGTCCTTTCTTAGAATTTGATTAATTACAAGAAATATTAATGCACTTTTATATCCATTGATTTGTTTATTAAAGCATCCTATTTTAATTTCTTCCTATAACAAAATTGTACTTTAAAGATAAAGTTTATCTCATTAAAGACTTTATATTTTGTATTGTTTTTGGATTAAACCTCAACTTTATTTTTTTCCTGAAAAAGAACTTGTATATTTTCATTTTTTCTGAAAAACCCCTCAACCTTCTAACTGTTTCTGAAAACCCCTCAGTTTTTTTTTAGTTTTTTCCAAAAAACTCACATTTTTACAAGGTTTTCAGCAAAAATTGACTAAAAGGGTTTGACTGAAAAAAATGAAAAAATACAAGGTCTTTTTCAAGGAAAAAAAATGAAGTTGAAGTTTAATCCAGGAAAAATACAAAATGTAAAGTGTAGATTTTTGAAAGTATAATGTCCTAATAAGAAAAAAAATCAAAACTTTATTGCTGTAGTTGAGTAAAATCTTCAAAAGTATAATTTATAAATAAGAAAAAAAGTTGAAATTACAATGTTTTGAAAGAAGAAAGAAAGTTGGATGCTATGATACACAAAGAAATGGAAGTTATTAGTTATATAATAAATACACATAGTAATGATTTTTTTTTGTTTTTGTTTTTGTGATTTGATTGAAATTGTACAGATATTAGCAGATGCAATGGGACTTGGTAAAACAGTAATGACAATTTCTTTAATCCTTGCAAGAACAGGAAAAGGAACCCTAGAAATTGAAGAAAAAAAAGATTCCATAAAAAGTAGAAATAATAATGAAAGCTTCTCAAAAAGACCAAGAGGTGGAACACTCATTGTTTGTCCTATGGCTTTGTTGAGTCAATGGAAGGTTTGACTTTTTGTTCTTATTTGCTACATTGACATGACATTTTGTTTTTTTTCTGGATGAAACCTTAAGTTTATTTTTTTCATGAAAAAGACCTTCAATTTTTCCATTTTTTCTGATTTGGCCCTTTTAGTCATTTTTCTCCAAAAAAAAGTTGTAAAATCTGAGGGGTTTTAGGAAAAACTAAAAAAGTTGAGGATTTATTTGGTAACATTAGAAGGTTGAGATTTTTTTTTTTGGAAAAAAATGAAAAAATATAAGGTCTTTCTTTATGAAAAAATAAGGATGAGGTTTAATCTGGAAAAAAACAAAAAAATATAAGGTCTTTTATGAGATTAACCCAAAGAATAATGTTAAAATTAGGTAAAATTTTCAAAGTACATTGTTTTAATAAGAAAGAAAAATGGAAAATACAATGCTATAATTGGGTGGATTTTTCAAGAAAAAAGTTTTTATTGCATTTGAACAATTTGTGACAACAACTCACTTGTTATTGTCTATGCAAAAGACATAAATACCCTTCTCATCCTCATCACTGCAAATACCCCAAAAAAAGAGTAAAGCTAACTCTTGAATCATGAAAAACCAACCATTTTTTCACTTAATTTTTTTTAAAAAAAAAAAAAAAATAGGATGAGCTGGAAACTCATTCAACACCAAACAGTTTATCTGTTTTTGTTCATTATGGAGGAGAGAGAAGCAATGATCCAAAAGTGATTGCTGAACCTACTGTTGTTTTAACAACTTATGGTGTTCTTTCTGCATCTTATAAAACTGTAATTATTCCACTTTCTTACCTTTTTAAATTATTATAAAGATTCATTTTACACATAATGCCCTTTTGAGTAATTAATTTATGTAATTCATTGTTTTTAGTATTCGGAGAATAGCATTTTTCATAAAGTGGATTGGTATAGAGTGGTGTTAGATGAAGCTCACACTATAAAGTCTTCAAAAAGTCAATGTGCTCAAGCTGCTTTTGCCTTGTCAGCATATTGTCGTTGGTGTTTAACTGGTACCCCTCTTCAGGTATTGTGTTAATAAATTACCTTTTTGCCCTTTATGTTATTTTTTATTCATCTGGTTGAAAAAGATGTTTTTTTTTGGTCTCTATTGATCCTTTGTAGTAACACTATAGATTGCTGTAAATGCATGTGAAATGTCAATTTTTCCCAAAAGAAAGGGTAAACTTGTCATTTCACATGCATTTAACAAACTATCTTTTAATAGAGTTGCTAGAAGGGAACAAAAGAGACAAAAGTTGAAAGAACCAAAAAAAATGTAGATGGTTGTTGAATTTAATGTAAAACAACAATTTTATCCAAGTTGTTAATCAAATATAAGATGGAGGGTAATTTTGTCATTTCACTTGATTTATTTTACAAGTTCATTTCTGCAGAACAATTTGGAAGATCTTTACAGTCTTCTGTGTTTCTTACGTGTTGAGCCATGGTGCAATTGGGCATGGTAAGTGATCTATTTGAGTAATATTATTATGACCCAAATGTAAATTTTATGACTTTTTCCTATTTTTATTTAATTTTTATTTTTTTTAAATGTATGTTAGGTGGAACAAGTTAATTCAGAAGCCATATGAGAATGGTGATAAAAGAGGGCTAAAGCTTGTAAAAGCCATTTTAAGGCCACTCATGCTTCGAAGAACTAAAGACACAAAGGATAAACAAGGAAGGTTTGTACAAATTATTTAAAAAAAACATCTAAGAAAATAAAATAAGAGTAATTTACTAAATTGTTTAATGTATGATGTAGGCCCATTCTTGTTCTTCCACCAACAGACATACAAGTGATTGAATGCGAACAATCAGAAGCTGAACGTGATTTCTATGATGCTTTATTCAAGAGATCCAAAGTAAGTCTTGTTCATCGCTTTAATCAGAATGATGAACATTGTTTTTCTTCGCATTTTCTTCAATTTCAGCTAACAAAATTAAACATTTGATGTGTTTTCGTCTACGCAAATCAGGTCCAATTCGATCAATTTGTAGCACAAGGCAAAGTTCTTCACAACTACGCTAACATTCTCGAGCTTCTACTCAGATTACGACAATGCTGCAATCACCCTTTTCTCGTTATGAGGTAATGATTATGAATTTATGATCCAATTCTGTACAAAAAACTCTTCAATTTGTCGTTTTTGTAACCAAAATCTTGTTCGAACATCAACAGCCGAGGCGACACCCAACAATTTTCGGATCTAAACAAAATCGCAAAACGATTTCTCGATATAAATTCCGATTCTTCTGCTCCAAATCCAAGCAAAGCATACATCGAAGAAGTAGTTAACGATTTAAAAAAAGGCGAAAACACCGAATGCCCAATTTGTCTAGAATCAGCAGACGACCCTGTTCTTACACCATGTGCGCATCGGATGTGTCGGGAATGTCTTTTATCAAGCTGGCGAAGCCCAATTCAAGGTTTATGTCCGATTTGTCGGCAAAATTTGAGAAAAACTGACCTGATTACATGCCCTACTGAGAGTAAATTTAGGGTTGATGTTGAGAAGAATTGGAAAGAGTCTTCGAAGGTTTTGAAGCTTCTGGAATGTTTGGAGAGTATAAGGGGAAAAGGATTTGGAGAAAAAAGTATTGTTTTTAGTCAATGGACTTCGTTTTTGGATCTTTTGGAGATTCCATTGAAGAGGAGAAAGATTGGGTTTTTGAGATTTGATGGAAGTTTATCACAGAAGAATAGAGAAAAGACTTTGAAGGAGTTCAATGAGACTACAGATAAAATGGTGCGTAAATTGAATTCTTCCCAAAATTTCATTATTTATTAAGAAATTTAAATTGGTCTTATAATTACCATTTTACCCTTTCAAAGTTACTTTGCAAGGGGACAAAGAAAAAGTTCACCCTTAAAAAGTGGTGAAATCGATTTTTTCGTAACCTTTTTTTGGAAAGATAAAGTTTTATCTTCATCAATTTGTAAAAAAGGTACTTTAGAAAATTATATATATATATTAATTACCAAAATTCGTTTGTGAGAGAAATCACTATTCATTTCAACTTCTATTCCTATCCGTCGATTGTGCTGTCATCTCCTTTTCTTTTTCTATGATGTTCCCACGATTTATATTTTTTTTTTTCTATTTCCAAATCCAAGTTTACTAAACCCAAATCATGTTATATATTGTCAAGCATGCATTATTAAATGTAAAACAATAGTTTTTGGAAATAGTCCTTTAGGTTCTGGTCATAGAAGATTTTTATATTTATAATCTTTTCTCCTCATTTAATTTTTATTTAATAGTTTTTACCCCTGATAATTTTAAAGTTCAATTGTTGGTATTTTATACATTACGATTTGATCCCTATTATATTTTAAAGTTACACTTCGACCCCTTACATATTTTTTTTAATAATTTTTTTTTATCAACTTTTTTAGGATACAATTTCAAGTCTTATTTTCGTCCGTCTCCTCCGTACATAATTATTTGTATCCAAATTTTATTTTGATATTTTTATGCTCCAGTTTATATGGTTTAATCGTCTTTGTGTTGATCTGCATTTTTGAACATTCTGGGGCTTCCGCAGTATTGCGCGGACGGTCAAAATCCTAGTTTATATTATGTTGCAAGATTATAATGAAAAGTCTGTTTTACCCTTGTAGGTATTGTTAATGTCATTAAAAGCCGGTGGGGTTGGATTGAATTTGACAGCAGCTTCTAATGTTTTCCTTATGGTAAGCTTTCATTTTGACTTTTTTATATTAAAAAAATTGATTTTGACTTTTGGATTTTGCTCTAATTTGTGTAGGATCCATGGTGGAATCCTGCGGTGGAGGAGCAGGCGATTATGAGGATTCATCGTATTGGTCAAAAGCGAACTGTTTGCGTTAGAAGATTTATTGTCAAGGTTAATTTAATTTTTAAATAAAAACCCATATTTAATTTTTGTCAATTTCGTTTCAAATACCATTAAAGTATTCATAATCTTCAATAAGTCTTTGGATTTTGCTAGTTTTGACCTTTTTCTCTTTGAGCTTAAAGTCAAAGTCAATCGAAATCAAACCTTTTTTTTTTCTAGTATTTCAAAATTTGTTGGTCAACAAATCCCAATCACTAATATGAAACACCTGCTTGAAAACTTAATATATTAAATATTTTTTTTTTCGAAAATTTTTAAGTTGACCAACCACTTTCGATCTTTGACTTTTTTATAACAAATAAAACTAAGATACCATTTTTCATGACTTGTACTTTATGTTTTAACGTTTTAAGAATAGGCTAAATGCAAGAAATATAAATGTACTTTATTTATTTGTGTATTATAGTTCCTTACTTTTATTTCTTTCTAGAGTTACTCTTCTTTCTAATATATTATTATATTTACAATCTTTTTCTTTATAAAAGATTATTTGTTTCTTATTAAGCATATTGTAGTTTGAAAATTCAACTAATTTAACCCTTAAATAAAAATGTGTATAGGAAACGGTGGAGGAAAGAATGCAACAAGTCCAGGCGAGGAAGCAACGGATGATTGCTGGAGCTCTTACTGATGAAGAAGTCCGTTCGGCTCGACTTGAAGAACTCAAGATGCTTTTTAGATGATTTTTTTTTATAAAAATCTTTTTGTTTTATTTTAAGAATTGAGACATGGTTTTGTCTTTTTGGTGGTGGAATTGATCTTTTTCATTCCAAATTTTGTATATTGGTAAAACCATTGAATGCAATCCATGTCTTCTTTTAATGAAAAATGTTATTGATTATTACTCTTCTTGTTTAATATTTAGTTGTTTATAAACAAAGTAATGTAAATCAACAAGAACTTTAACCACAATTGGAAACCAATAAGTTGATTTTATAAAATTTTTAGACATAAAAATAACTATTTTTTTAACATGGTGGACAATTATCTTTATGCATAAAATAATCATATTCTAAATACTTTATTTATAAATACAAATACAAATAAAAATACAAAGTTATGGAAGGTTATAATCCCGTTGAAACAAATGATATATATTTTAGTAGAAATAAATGTATTATGTATTTTTATGTAGATTGTAACATTTAGGATGAGCTTAATATGGAAATTAGTCTAGTCGATTCTAGTTCTTCTATGTTACAATAGATATTGATTATTTATCTTTTGGCGGTGATATTAGTTAGTTAATATACTTACCCTTGATTTGATTACATAACAAATGGGGTTTTGGTGGCAGATGGAGATCATGGATTAAAGGTTGTCTTGCATTTGCCCAAGCTTTGGTTCTTATTAATGGTTCTCTTACCCTTGAATTTCCGATTACTAAAGGTGTTCGTCAAGGTGACTCTCTCTCTCTCTCTCTCTCTCTCTCTCTCTCTCTCTCTCTCTCTCTCTCTCACTTTTTCTTTTTCTTTTAGCTATGGAAGGATTAAATGTTGTCATGAAAATTGCATGTAGTAAGTCTATCTTCAGCGGTATCAAATCCCCAACAATGGACCTATGCTCTCTCATTTATTATATGTCGATGATGCTATCTTTGTGGGTGATGAGACTCGCTCAAACATCAAAAACTTAGCCCGGATACTTAGATGCTTTCAAGTTTCATCGGGCCTTAAAGTTAACTTCCACAAATCTAAGATTCTGGGTATATGTATAGAGGAAATTGAAACAAAAAGATACGCGATTAATCTTGGATGCATGATAGATTCTCTTCCCTTCTCATACCTTGGTGTTCCGGTAGGTGCGAATGTCTCGAAGGAAACATTGGAAACCAATTATTGACAAATTCCAATTTAAGTTGTCGGATTGGAAAGCTAAATCATTGTCATTTGGTGGAAGTGTTACCTTGATCAAATCGGTCCTCGTTAGTCTTCCTACGTATTATTTTTCACTATTTAAAGCCCCTTCGTGCATCATGGATGAACTTGAAAAACTGAGAAGGAATTTCTTATGAGGAAGTTCAAGATCTGAAAAGAAAATCCACTGGATTGTCTGGGATAGGGTGTTAGCCCCCCAAAAGGACGGGGGTCTAGGTATGGGTTCTCTAAAAGCTCAAAACATGTCTCTTCTAGTCAAATGGATATGGTGCCTTCAACATGAAAAAACTCCATGCGGTGTAAAGTCCATCAGGGGATTCACAATCTTGTAAGAAAGCCTTGGGAGGCATCGAAAAACGACTTTGCCTGGGGTTTGGCAAAATATTACAAAGGCTCTTGATGATCTCAACAATTTGGGTATAACTCTTGATGACACTTTTCATCAACAAGTTGCTTCGGGTAACAACACATTTATGAGTTTTGATACAAAATATAAGTTAGTTTTTCATAAAAAACGACAACGGAAGCTTTCAAAATAACAAGTTTATTTTTGAGTATCCAACAAAACCAAACTATCTAGGATCCATTTATAGAGGTTAGAATGATATTAAAAACAACCATAAAGTGTTTTAGAATGACAATCTTTGGAGCTTTTGAACCTACTTGGTTTTGGGGTGTTGATGAAGATAGAAAGATCAAAGAAGATGATATTCTCTACAAGTATCCACCATCAAGAATAAGGCACTTGGAATGCTAGTTCCTTCTTGTATTTTTGAGTGTCTTAAGCCTTTAAGTACTTAACTCAAATAAGAACTAAAGGAGACAACTCAAGGAAGCTTTAACCACCAAACTAAATTCAAAAGAGAGAGAGAGAGAGAGAGAGAGAGAGAGAGAGAGAGAGAGAGAGTAGGAGGGTAGAAGAGAAGCTACGACCTCTTCATTATGAAGAGAATCCAAGACCAAAAGAACTAGCAAGTTTTGTTCTTAAGACTCTCTTATATACTCCATGCATGCAAAAAGGCTACTCCTTATTTTATTCTAAAGTAATACCCTAGAAAAGAAGGCATGGGAGCCAAGGGATGGAGGTTGACAAGCAACCTCCATGCCTCTTGAAAACTTTCGGCCATGTGGTCAAAGTAAGAGACAAAAAGTTAGGCAAGTTTACTAACCATGATACATTAACTCATTAACTTAACCATGGTTAACAAAAGCGTCCAAAACTTTGTGTACAACTTATTAAATCATACCATATGATATAATAACTAGTTATTGTTACACTCGAATCCTAGTAAGTTTCCCTTCTAATCTTCTAATTTGTGATTTTGGAAACTTTGGCCATTACGCGGGGCGTACCTGAATGGTACGCTGGGCGTAAGTGGGTTTAAGCGGAACGACACTGTTTTGGGGAGTACGCTGGGTGTACTCCGCCTGGACATAAACCTTAATCTTTAGGGTTTTGACCCAATATACTGAAACCTTAAGTCCCATTTCCTCATCTCATTTCCACCTCCATCACTTGAAACGTTGCCCCTTGCAAACCCTAGACCCATTGTTGAAATTTGAAGGTTGAGAGTGTGTTTTGTGTGTTTCAAAAGGTGGTGGTGAACCTTGGAAGCTAGAAGCAAGCTATGATATGGAAGTCTTGCATCATCCTCAATCTCCAAGAAGGTATAAAGTTCATACCTTGGTGATTAGCTTGTTAGCTCTTGTGTACATGATGATATTATGAAAATTTGTCCCAAAATATGACCTTTTTGTGCATGGCATGCTATAGAGAAAATGGGTTGTCCTTTTGGACATTTTTCTAGGCTTAGAGTGATAAAAATGTGTTCTTGACCCTTAGTTCTTCCCCATGCGAGAGTTTAGTTGTCTTAATGGATTAATATGTTGGGGTTTTTAGTGTAAAGCACATTAGGGCCATGCAAGACCATAAAGTTGGAAACTTTATGGTCAAGGACAACATTTGGGACCTGGATATGCATTTTGGACGAAAAAGATTAAGTATTAAGCTCTTAATGGGTTGAGAAGTTTCAGCTACGTATGTTGGGCGTATCGGATGGTACGCCGCGGATACGCGGCTAGGCCCCCATCTTTTGGTCGCGATCGAGTACTCCCCATGTACGTCCGAGTACGCCCCGTGTACGGGGATGGGTCGACTCAGCTGAGTTAACTCGGCTGGGTTGACTCGACTAATTTATTGAGTTTGAGCAATGTTGACCTAATGGTATTTTGGGTAATCTAGTATTAATTACAGTTGGGATATGATTTGCATAATAGGTGATGGGCAGAGCTGGTATTCGGAGTCAAGACTTATTTTAGATTGTGTTCGGACCAAGAGGTGAGTTTTTTCACTATGCCAATGGGTCTAAGGCACCAAGGCCGACCCATTTATTATATTTATGTATCCTAGGATGTAGGATTTCTATGATAGTTATATGTGTGATTTGTTGTGTATATGTTGACATATGGGTGGTTCAGTTGAGGTCGCGCGCCAACAAACCCAATATGATTGGGTTGAGACTGGCAGTCAACATACCCGATATGGTGAGGTTGAGGCCACGTGCCAACAAACCTGGATGGCTGGGTTGATGTGTTACTGCTTTGTGCTATAAACCAACAAACCGTGTATGCATGCTTGTGTTATATATGTAATTGTTTGTATTATAGGGTATTTTGGGAAGCTCACTAAGCTTTGTCTTATAGTTTGGATTTCAATGTTTCAGGTACTTCTGATGAGTTGGGAAAGACGAAGGCATGATTGTACACATCATCCCGCAATTTATGTTGATTGATACTTGGATTCAATGTTTTAACTTAATATGATTTATGAACAATGTTTTGGTAACTTTTGGCTTATGGATTTGTGTTTTAAAATGAAAAAGTTTTACTATGATTTTTGGGACGTTACAAGTTGGTATCAGAGCCCTGGTTTGAGTGAACTGGATGAGCATTCGTGTGATTCCAGACTCAAACTAAGGATTTGCAAAAAGATTTTTTAAAATTGTTTCCAGATAAACACAAGAGGGGATGCGATGTGTACAATCATCCAGAGCTCAAGAATGTTTCCCAGAATACCCACACATGTTATGTTATGTGATAGAACTGCATAGCTAGAATGTAGGCTAAGGATCCTCAGGAATCACATAATAAAATTGCCTGATACATGATGCCTTATAGCCTAGGAGTTCTATTTGAATTGCTTATTTGGAACTGAAATTTGTGCTGCTATTAGCTGAGTATATGCGCTATAATTGTACATAGTTAGGATCTTATAGCCTTAGAATTCTTGATTTAGCCTTACTTCCTGTTCCTTGCTTGGTTTTGGGATTAGGGTAGAATCACTTATTCGACTGTCTATCGGATCTGGCGCTATGTATTGTTGGCATATGCGAGGCGACCGCAGTGTTAGTGGAGGTTTCATGGGTCGTGAGTGGGATTTGTAGAGTCCTAGTGGAACTAGGAGTTGTGGTCACTCTTTAGGAGTGTGTTTTAGGGTGCATGTGCACCAAAGCATAGAGGTTTTAGTGACCCAAGGGTTTTGTGGCGATCACTGAGACAAATATGGGTAGGTGTGGAAGGTAGTATGGTCCCATACTACTGAAAGCACAAGATCCGTATGCATGTTAGGGAAACCACAAGACCCGAGGTTGAGATATGTGAGTTGTAGAGAGTTACTCCATTAGCGATTTGATGAATTTATGTTTATTTTTTAGCATGGTGGTCACTAGAGGTTCGGGATCCGGAGTTGGTGGTTCAGGAGGTGGTGAGCCAGCAAGGTTGGTTGTACTGGATGAGGAGGTTCGATAGTTGATTTGTGCAGAGGTAGCTGCAACTGTTCGGGGTGCTATCTCGGAGATGTTTGGGTCGGTGAAGACGCTATGATTGCGCTCTTTGACGAGCGTTATGCCGCTGTAACGCAGGCTGC